AACTCGCCCCAATGCCTATCTACTCAGCACACAGGCCGTGCCCACCCTCTTCGAGGAAATCAAATCGGGACAACAATAGGACTCGGAACTAGATAAAATCTGCCACGACCTAACTCGAGGGAAAGAGGGCCCCTTCGAAGCACACCCAGACGGCAGCCTCCGCTACAAAGGGAGGTGGTGTGTACCCTCAACGCACCCCCACTTGAAACAGCGGATCTTGGAGGAAGGACACAACTCCCCTTACTCCGTCCACCCAGGCGGTGACAAATTATACCAAGACGTAAAGAAATCGTTTTGGTGGCCGAATATGAAAAAGGAAGTCGCAGACTTTGTGGCCAAGTGTCTGAATTGCCAAAGGGTAAAAGCCGAACGATGCAAACCCAAGGGACTCGTACAACTCCTTGAAATACCACAAGGAAAATGGGATTCCATATCCATGGACTTCGTCGGAGGGCTACCCCCAACGAAAACCGATAAGGATAAAATCTGGGTCATAGTGGATCGACTGACCAAGACAGCGCGATTCATTGCCATGAAAGAAACATGGACGATGACGCAACTAGCCCAAGCTTACGTAAACCGGGTAGTGAAATACCACGGAATTCCCCGAAACATTGTGTCCGACCGAGATTCCAGGTTCCTCTCGCAATTCTGGAAATCACTACAAGCGGCGTTGGGGACGCAACTAAAGCTAAGCACAGCCTTTCACCCCACCACAGACGGCCAAACCGAAAGAACCATCCAAACCCTCGAAGACATGCTAAGAGCCTGCACGCTCAACTTCCGAGGGACGTGGGAAGAACACCTAGACCTCATCGAGTTCTCGTACAACAACAGCTACCACGCGAGCATTCGCATGGCACCCTACGAAGCACTGTATGGTCAGAAATGTAGAACCCCATTATGTTGGGAAGATATGGTCAACCCAGTAACACTGGGCCCCCAATACCTACAAGACACCATAACTAAGGTCAAACACATCCAGGAAAGGATGAAGGCCGCCCAAGACCGCCAGAAGTCTTACGCCGACCTAAAGAGGAAGCAAGCCGAATTCAACCTCGGGGACAAGGTCTGGCTAAGGATCTCGCCCACACGAGGGGTAATGAGGTTCGGGAGAAAAGGAAAACTCAGCCCCCGGTTCATCGGCCCTTACGAAATCGTGGAGAGAATCGGAGACTTGGCCTACCGTCTCGCCTTACCCGTGGAGCTAAAACGAGTACACAACGTGTTCCACGTATCTCAGCTAAAGAAATACATACACGATCCAAGCCACGTACTCCAACACGAGACCGTGGACCTCGACGAGTCACTAGTATACGAAGAGAAACCCGTAAGAATCCTGGACACCAAAACAAGAAATACCCGGAACCAAGTCATGGAAATGGTGAAGGTCCTCTGGACCAACCACGGGACCTAGGAAGCCACATGGGAACTTAAGGACACGATGAAGGAGCGGTACCCCGAGCTGTTCACTCCAGGTAACTAAGAGAAAACTTTCTTTTTTTTTTTTCACCCGGGGCCAAGCTTCGGGACGAAGCTTCCTGTTAAGGGGGGGAGAGTGTAACACCCCGTGTTACGAATCCTAAAACCAACTGATTAATTAATTAATTAATAACCCGGGAGAAAGAATAAATTATAATGATTAATTAGGGAAAAAGGCCACCATAGCCCATGGGCCCAAATATATAAACCCAACCCCTAACCCCAATAGGATTAAACTCTAAATAAACCCTTGGATCTATAAATAGGGAACTTAGGGAGCACCTAGAACCCCGACACGCCTAGACGCCCCACCACCCCAGGAGAGGTCCAAGAATTCCCTTAGAAGAAATCAAGAAAGCAAGAAAGCTTAAAGAAAGATCATTCATAGCCAAGGAATTAATTAAGGCTAAGAGGTAACCCATGTCTCAACAAAACCTATTTTCATAGCTATGATTTCCCCTTAGGGTTTCCCCCATATGATTGTAAATGGCGAATTACTATGATTATTATTGATGTTGATTTAATGATTCCATGGGGAATCTTGATAATCTTGATATTGGGAGTTTCTTGATAATTATGATGTTCTTGATGATTAATTGGGATTTTGATGATTATGTGTTGTTCTTGATGATTATGATGTTCTTGATGATTAATTGGTATCCTTGATGATTATGTGTTGTTCCTACCGAATCTTACAATTAGAAGACGAACCGTATTCTTGTTGATACAAAAGTGATTAGAACCCTAGGTTGTATCGTATGATCTTATTCTTGGATTATCGGGTGGGAAATCGCATGTTTGGGTGTTGATTATGATTAGAAAAGCATGTTAGGTTATGTGCCGTTCGTCTATCGTATTTGATCCGTTAATTGTCTATGTGTTGTCGTTAATTACGTTGCAAAGTGTCTAAGCATGGTTTCGGGTTCCACAACGGTTCCCGGGGTGAAAAGTGATCAAAAAGAGTCAGTGGGGGGGGGGGGTAGGTGGGGGTAGGGGACCCGCCACCTACCCGCGGTAATCTCGGGTAGCTCCGGCAGCGGGCAGCTGCCCGCCGGGCACCCGCTGCCCGGAACAGTGACAGCCGGCGGGTGGACCCCCACCCACCGGCTACCCGCTGGAATCTCACCCCACCCGGGACTTCGGCTTCCCCGTTTGATGTTTCCCCGATCCCCGTGGTGTCCCAACGGACCCCGTTTGTCGTGCCTATGTCTAGTTTGATGTTTCGGGTACCGTTCGTAGGTTTATGAGTCTGTTATATCGCATGCTAGTTGAATTGGTATCCCGTTGACCTAGGTGAAAGAAGTATGAACCCCTTAGGGCTATCCTTAGTATGTGATGGATCACGCATAGGTTTGTTGTACGCTTTATCCCCCTTCCCAATGTGTAACGTGGGTTGCATGTGCTTGCTATGTGTTATGTGTGTGTGCTACCCCAATTCGGTTGCGATCGGATTGGTTATCCTGAGCTGCGGTTCAGAAGCTGGCTGCGGTCAGATTGGTATTCCTGGCTGCGGTCAGATGACATTCTCTTGGGCTGCGGTCCACCGTTTGGTTGCGATCAAACGTTTCTATACGAGCTGCGGTTCGTCATTTATCCTGGCTGCGTTTAGATGACACTCTCTTGGGCTGCGGTCCACTGTTTGGTTGCGATCAAACATTATGATGAGCTGCGGTTCATCGGTCGGTTGCGATCGACCTCCCCGTGTTGCGATACGGGGCATGGTGCTGCGGGGCTGTGTCAGAGGTATATGCGCTGACCCTCATGTATGGGCATGCGATCGGTCCCGTGGCGCCAACAATGTGTGTTATGTGTGTGATATGGACGAGTTGTGACTATGAGTGCCTTGGGATGTGACTATGGGTTTCATATTGGGGGATTGTTTATGATGGGATTATGATTACCATTTATGCCTTGTCGTAACTGCTTTATCTATTGTGAAATGCTTATGCTTGCCAAGTCTACTGCTGGTGTCTAGCCTTAACTGTTGAGTCATTCCCGGTTTTAAAAGCTAGAGTTCGTAGGATATATCTTCATGCTCATAATGGTTTTCGTATATCTATATATATATCTCTATATGTATTGTATTTCAACGCGTTGGAGTGGGTTACCAGCATCTCTCGCTGAACAGATATATTTGGCTTTCAGGCACAGAAGAATAAGTCACTGGAGCGCGCTAGAACTCGGAACGTAGAAGTAGATAGTTCCCTTTTTCGGCCTGCGTGCCATATTATGCAATTACATTATTGAGGAAATTAGTTAGTCAGCCTGTGCACCTGGGTTCTCTAGCTCAGGTGTGGCATAGCACCCCGTACACTTGTATTACGTTTTGGGATTTAATGAGATAATACCTTTATTTTATAAGTTTTAAATGTCTTGAAAATCTGGGGTGTTACAATGACTGCCTATGATTAATGCCTAGTTGCACAAACAAAGAATGTAATTTCTTATACTCAGTTCCTAGATCAGATTGAATGGATCTGATTTTACAATTAAATGAACGCTCAACTAAAGCACGAAATTGATCAAATATGACATAAAGATCAGATTTATGCTTCATAGGAAAATACCAGGTGTAACGACAATAATCATCAACAAAGATGACAAAATAACGATAACCGTACCATTAGAAGATAGCAAAGGAGTTGGTCCCCAAATATCAGTGTATATCAAATCAAGAACATCCGAACTATTACACTCAACAGGTGTTACAGGGAAACGTGCAGATTTTGCCAATTGACACGCTGAACATAAACTGGAATTACAATGAATAGTACGACTAGAGCCACTAACCGAACAAGACTGAAGAATTTTACTAAGGACACGCATATGAGGATGACCTAAACGGTCATGTCAAACTAAAGTAGAAGCACGAGCGGAGAGAAACGCGAAAGGAGACGAACTTGGAACAGGAAAAGTGTATAGGTCACCCGAACTACTGCCTCGTAAGAGGATTTCCTTGGTGGTCATATCTTTCACAAGAAAAAAAAGAAGGATGAAACTCAAAGAACACATTATTATCTGTAGCAAAACGTTGAACAGATAATAAAGAGGTAGACAGACCAGGAACATGCAATATATCAGACATCGTAAAAGACCTATAGAAGGGGTATTAAAAGTAGCATGGCCAACACGACTAATAGACAGGCCCATACCATCACCGACACGTGAAGTGTCATTACCAGTGTACTTCTCCTAGGTAGAAAGGGTAGATATGTCTGGAGTTGCATGATTTGTGGCTCTAGTGTCCAAAACCCAAGTATGAGAATTTGTCGAGGTTTTAGCACCCAAACTATTCTGAAACACCAAATTAGCCTAAGAACCCCGAGCTCTTGAATAACGCTGAAAACAATTGGCTCCCGTGTGACCGAAACCATTACAAATTTGACATTGTTCATCATAGCGCCGAAAACAATTGGCTCCCATGTGACTGAAATCATTACAAATTTGACACTGTTCATCAAAGAGCCGAAAACAATTGGCGCCCGTGTGACCGAAACCATCACAAATTTGAAACTGAACTTTAAAACCATGTTGCTGATTGGACCTCTTCTCATATGGTGTATCACTGTATCCTGGTTCGATGTCATCGACTGCCGTTACGGTAATAATTATTATTAATGTCGAAAATAATAATTATTTTGAACTCTAGCTAACTGATACCAGATGAGAACTGTATAAAACTGTATCGAATGAACTGTCTAATAACTGTGCAGACGGGGGAATATATACAAGGGGAACAGAGACTAGGATAGGAAGTAGGAATCATAGGGAGACTAGGATAAGGAGTCATAATGTGACTCAAATACATAGAGTCCTAATACTAGTCCTAATAAGAGATTTACAAAATTGATGATGTGAAAATGGGATCCACTTTTAAAAGTAAGAGAATATTGCAGGGATAAGGATAACCTTAATGTAACTAATCCATTTTAAATTTCTTTAAAATGGGATTAACTCATTAACTTGCAATATTTCATACCACAATAAACTTATTATTTAATGAAAGAGCATTCCATCCTTGACATTACAAATATTTAGAATGAAAGCGAAATTGAAAGATACCCACTAAAAGTTTAAATTGATACAGAAGCATAATATTACATTCATTATATTATTTAATACGAGTAGTATATTATTTTATGTCAAACCGCATACAACTCAAACATTATATTAAGTAATAATAGCACAGAAGCAGATTATTATATAAGAGGCCAGTCCTGTGATTGAAGATAGTTAATGACTGTTTTGTCGAGGCGGAATGCTTTGGTGAGAACATCCTCTGAAATTGGCGGGGCAGATCCAAAGGCAGAATTAGCGAGGGAGACAAATCCTGGGTTTTGGCTATTGAAAGAGGCAAACAATAAAGCATTAGTGCGGCCAACATTGTAGAGGAAGTGAACGAGTCCCATAGGAAAAATGAAGGAGTTGCCAGGATTAAGAATTTTTGAGAAAAGCTTATTCTTTTCACCATTGAGTGGATTTGAAGTGACAAAGCCGACGTAAACAGTGCCTTCCAGAATAAACACAACCTCACTGTCTCGAGGGTGAGTGTGGAGTGGGATTAGGCCATTGGGTGCAAAATCTATACGACCGATTGACAACCCCATGGTGTTCAGCCCTGGGAATCGGTCCGCATCTAGAAGCTTTGTTACCAGTCCCACAAAACTAAGATTTATACCTCCAACAGGGGTGTTAAACCCAGCAGCCATGTAGAAATCATCTGCCGTAACAAGTTTTGGGTTCTTGCAAACCTTTCCATTGACAAACACTGCATGCATGCACAATTTAGTTAACCAAGAAAGAAAGAGTCACGCCCGCATGAGCTTAAGTTCACTAGTTCAGTAAACAGTATTTGGGAGAATCTAACAAGAAAGAAGAGTCGCGCTTGAGACGGCTCGAATTTAAGATAGTTTTTTGTTCCAAATGTAAATTTTGACAAAAGAGAGAAATTATATATATGATGGCATTATGAAATCAAATGTAGATGCAGTGTACCTGCAGCTAGGGGATCGGCAACTGCAACACAAAAATCTTGCAAGGGGTTGTTATCATATGCGCTAGCAAACGAAGCTAGTAAAGCTAAAAGGACAACTATGGATGCCATTTCGAGACTCACCATTGTTAGTTGTGCCTATTTCTGTAAATGCTTTAATTTATTAAGTTTTTTTAGAAGATATGTCGTATTCAAAACGGGGAAGGTGCCTATTTATAAACTATTATATTAGATATTTAGATCTATCTATACCTTATAAGTATTTTTACTTTTTATTTAAAAAAAAATTGTTTAACATTGAGTACTTAATGCAACATTAAATGTAAATCTTCTCCTGCATGTAATTCTCCTCACTCAAACTTTTGCCCAGACAATTCCTTTTAAGAAAAACCTTTGCCCAAGCAATTCCGTTTAGGAGAAACCTTTGCCCAAGCAATTTCCTTTAGGCAAACCTTTGCCCAAGCAATTTCCTTTAGGAGAAACCTTTGGCCAAACAATTTCCTTTAGGCAAACCTTTGCCCAAGCAATTCCCTTTAGGCAAACCATTGCCCAAGCTATTTCCTTTAGGAAAAACCTTTGCCCAAGCAATTCTCTTCAGGAGAAACCTTTACCCAAGCAATTCCCTTTAGTAGAAACCTTTGCCCAAGCAATTCCCTTTAGAAGAAACCTTTGCCCTAGCAATTCCCTTTATGAGAAACCTTTACCCAAGCAATTTCCTTTAGGCAAACCTTTGCCCAAGCAATTCCCTGCAGGAGAAACCTTTGTCCAAGCAATATCCTTTAGGCAAACCTTTGCCCAAGCAATTCCCTTTAGGAGAAACCTTTGCCCAAGCAATTCCCTGCACGAGAAACCTTTGCCCAAGCAATTCCCTTTAGGAGAAACCTTTGCCCAAGCAATTGCTCCTCCAAAACCATAGCCCAAACATTAGCTCCTACATTTGACTTTATTCTTTACACCAATATTAACAAAAAAAAAACAAAAAAAAAAAAACAAAAAACAAAAAAAAAAAACTCAAAACAAAAATCAAATCTAAAATCACTAATCCAAACTTAAAAATCATTATATTATTAGTAAGATGGAATGATACCCGTTTTTTAATTAATGAATAATGTTTTTAATTGAAGAGGTAATCAAATCCCATAGTTATCCTTTAAAAAGTTATCAACTAAACACTAACTATGATTTTGATAGATTCTCATTCTTAGTGGATAAACCGTACCAAACATATCCTTATTCTTTTTTAACTTTGTTTTTTATTCAATATCAATGTTACACCTATCGAGCAACTAAAAAAAATATATAATTTTTTTTCTTTTCTTTTTTCTTCCTCTAATTTAATCAAATATTAAAAAAAAAATGTAATGAGAATAATACTTTTAATAGTACCCTTAACATTTTCCATGCAATTGGCTTGTGACAAGCTTAGGACTAGAGCACCGAAACCACTTCATAGCATTATGGGCATAGGTTTTGTGCACATACTATACATATGTAATATTTTTCCTTGTAATATACTGTTTATATTAAGACCTTAATTATGTGCACATGCAAGTAGTATAAATGTTGCTCTTGAATTTTCAAAATGTGGCCATATATTGACCCTCCTGAAGGATATAAATTACAATATATGGGGGCAATATATGGCTACATTTTGACAATTCAAGAGCAATATAATATTTTTACCAAATAGAATTGAGAGGTGAAATTTATAATTGGACTATACATAAGGGATATAAATTATAATTTTTTCGCAAATAGATTTAAAAGCACACTTAGTACAATTTGTAATTTGTGAAGATGTTAAGATAATGTGTGAGTGTTTATGCCAGAAAACTAAGATGTGTGAAGTAAAGAGACAAAAGTTTTATAGTAGTTTGAAGGTGGTGTACATAATCTTTCTACTCCACTCTTCTGTGTTTTCACTTAGGAAGAATTTCACTAGTAATCTTGTTTAACAAAATAGTTACTAGTGAAAAAATAAACTTGTGCTTTGAACAGAATGTCATCACAAAGTATCAAAGGTTTTCATAAAACATACTCCATAAGCTTGCTACTCTGCCTATTTCTACAACCACATGCAGAGATATACAACAATGATAAACCTAAGGTCGATTTTTCCCCCAACAAATAAGACTCTTGAAAATCTGGATCCACTACAAGAAAAATACACATAGACAACGGTTTTTAATCGTTGTCGTAGGGGTAAAATTTATGTTGTTGAAACTAGTGTTGTTGTGAGTCCCGCGCATAGACAACGGTTTTTAACCGTTGTCTTTTCTAGAAGAGACAACGGTTAAAAATCGTTGTCTATTGAATGTTGTTGAAATCGGTGTTGTTAAAAGTCACGCACATAGACAACGGTTTTTAACTGTCTTTTCTAGAAAAAACAACGGTTAAAAGCTGTTGTCTATTGAGTGTTGTTGGAGCTGGTGTTGTTGAACTTCACATGCATAGACAACGGTTTTTAACCGTTGTCTTTTCTATATTAATCATCAGTCCATAATCTTAACATGGTATCACAAGCCTAAATTCTCCTACGAAAGAATTATCATTTTTTTTTCATCTTTCGATTTCCTTGCTTCCTTCATTATCAATGGCGTCTAATACCCATGCTGCTACTACAGCCACCACTGAAGTCCTCCAGCTAGCTACATGTTCCCACACACTTCCCCATTAAACTCACTCCTACGAATTTCCCAGTGTGGCGCACACAGGTTCACGCTACTCTTGTTGGACTTAATCTCCTGGGATACATTGACGGTTCCACCAAGGAACCAGCCAAGTTCATTGATCCTGTTAACACCGTCGCCAACCCGAATCATTCCGTTTGGTATCGTCAAGACCAAACTATTGTCAGTGCACTCCTGGGAAGCTATACTGACACAATCCCGTCGATCATCTCCTCGGCCACAACAGCCCGTGATGTATGGCAATGTCTCGTTGCCAGTTATGCTAATGCCTCTCGAGGATGCATCATTTCCCTCAAGGCAAAGCTCACCACAAACCCCAGAGGTTCTCGGTCCATTACGGCGTACCGCAATGACATGCGAGCCATCGCTGACATGCCGCAACAGTTTGTGTCGTACGGTCGGATGTGTTTTCTGTATTTACTCAGTTCAAATAATTAATGGAAAAATATTTTGACCTTTCAATTATTTTCATTTACTTAGACAATGGGGGTGAATTTATAAAACTTGTACCATTTCTAAATGCTCATGGTATTTCTCATTTCACCACCCCCACCGCACACTCCTGAGCATAATGGTGTCGCTGAGCTACGGCACATGCATGTCGTCGAAACTGTCTTGTCTCTTCTTCAAACCGCGTCTCTGCCGTCCTCGTACAATACCTTCGCCTTTCAGACGATTGTCTATCTCATTAATCGGCTTCCAACACCAGTCTTAGGTAATCAGTCTCCAGTTTATGTTTTGTTTCATCAGTTGCCTAACTATGATAAGTTAGAACCATTTGGATGTCTATGTTTCCCGTGGTTGCGCCCCTACAACACCAAGAAACTTCAACCAAAGTCACGCCCGTGTGTCTTTCTTGGCTACTCAAGCACTCAATCAGGTTATAAATGTCTAGACTCTAGCTCCAGTCGCATTTTTATATCTCGGCATGTCAGATTTGTGCTACATGTGTTTCCTTATAGGGATTTGCAACAAACATCTAGCACTCCACCATCTGATTCGCTGGGTTCAGAGTTGAGAAATATTTTGTTCAAGTCATCTTTTGTGTCTACCTAGCCCGGGGTCATTCCCACAGCTGCTCAATCTCCTGCTCCGACATCCGTATCGTCTCCGGCTGTGTCTCTCTCTATCGTAGCCGACTACCCGCAAACTGATCTGGTGGGTGTTCAAACTCAAGTTCCAACACAATTCGGCAGAAATAGTTTGGATGTCCCCACTGGTTCACCGTCAGCTGTGTCCAGTTCGTCATCCCCTGGTTGCTCGTCACCCACTGTTCCAAAAAGTGGCCAACATACCATCCAGTCTGACTCCTTTCCCGTCACCACCTCCGAAGTTTCTCAAACGCAAAATAATCTGCGCTGGTCTACCCGAGAGCGTCGTCCCAATCCTAGGTATTCTGAGTATGTTATTAACCACGTCACCTCACATCCCTTGCCTCCCACTTTAGAACCCTCTACCGTCGCACAGGCTCTTAAGGACGCTCGGGGGAGGAAAGCGATTGATGAGGAATTCGAAGCGCTCCAACGTAACAAAACGTGGCAATTGGTTCCCCACGGAGCAACTGTCCCGATTGGCTACAAGTGATTCTATCGTGTCAAACCCAAATCGGATGGGTCAGTTGATCGGTACAAAGCACGGCTTGTCGCTAAGGGGTTCTTGCAGACTGCTGGCCGAGATTATTTTGAAACATATAGCCCGGTTATGAAACTAGTGGCCATTCATGTGGTTTTGACTATTGCCTTGAGTAATCGCTGGACTTTGCGCCAGTTAGATATTAATAATGTGTTCCTTCATGAGACATTGCATGAGGATTTGTTAATGGAGCAGCCACCGGGTTTTGTGGATCCCTCGTTTCCATCCCATGTTTGCAAGCTAACTAAAGCTCTAAACGGTTTTAAACAGGCGCCTAAGGCATGGTACTTGGAGCTTTCAGAGTTCTTATTACGCTGTGGTTTTTTGAAGTCACAAGCAGATGCTTCTTTATTTGACTATTATGTTAATACTATCATCGTTTATTCCCTGGTGCATGTGGATGATATTATCTTGACAGGTAATAATGTTGCATGGCTTAATCACTTTGTTGACACTCTGTCAGTTCGGTTTGCACTTAAAGATATGGGTCCCTTACATCATTTTTTGGGCATTGAGGTAGTTCCAACACTTGATGGTGTGATTCTGACTCAACGCCAATACATCACTGATATTCTAGTTCGGTTTAAGATGGATGGTGCAAAGGCTGTTTCAACACCATTGGCTACCTCGGACAGGTTGCTGCCTGCACAATATGGTACTGCACCGGTTGCCGTTACTCAGTTTCGGCGTCTCCTTGGCTTGTTGTAGTACCTGATCATCACTAGGCCGGATGTGTCCTATGCGGTCAATCATCTTTCGCAGTTCATGCACTCACCTACGGAGCTGCACTGGCAGGCTACTAAACAGTTGTTGCGCTATCTAAAGGGAACAATTTGTCATGGCATATTACTCCGTACTGGGCAACCACTGTCACTGAGTGTGTATACGGATGCTGATTCGGGAGGCTGCACTACTGATGACCGTTCCACCACCGCGTACTTAGTGTATCTTGGTTCCAACCTCATTTCTTGGAAGACTGCTCGCCAGAAGTCCATGTCGCGCTCGTCCATAGAGTCTGAATACCAGGCCTTGGCAAATGCTGCTGCAGAAGTTTTTTGGATAACGAATTTGCTTCGTGAGCTACGGTTGCAACTGGTGAAGCCTCCGGTTCTGTTCTGCGACAATCTTAGCACGACATATGTGTGCAAGAACCCGGTGTTCCATTCACGTATGAAGCATCTGGCACTTGATTACTTCTTTATTCGTGACTTGGTTGCTAATGGTTCACTGGTGGTTCGGCACATCCCCTTGAAGGATTAGCTAGCTGACTTCCTTACCAAACCGTTCGGTCGTTCCATGTTTCTTTAGTTTCGGTCCAAGATTGGAATCTCCGACTGATCCTCAATCTTGCGAGGGCGTGTTAAAGACATATGTGACTGATATATTTTGTTTCTGTGTTTTGTTCTAGTTTAGATCCGGTAGAATAGCTATTAGACTAGTTGTAACAATTCCCAACTACCTTCTCTCATTTGTACACTATTTATAGCTGCTTGTATTTGATTAATATTAATCATCAGTTTATAATCTTAACAGACTATTTGTTAAAATCTTAACATACATATATGTATGTATGTATGTATGTATGTACGTATGTACGTACGTATGTACCACACAGAAAAGTGAGAAAACCCAAAGAAGTCTCATGCATATATAGCCTCTGTACATGGTGGGGGAGGGGGGAGGGGGGAGGGGGGGGGGGGGAGCACACTACCGTATGTTGGAAACTTTTTAGCAAAAAATAAATGTCATTTTAAATGGCTAATTTGTGTCACAAATATGTGTGGAGTCCACTTTTGATTGAAGTCGGGTCAAATGGGTTCAAGATTTTGAAGTAAGATGAAAAAATTGGTATACTGTATACTCAAAGTAGATAATGGGTGAAAGAGAAAATTAATTTTCAAAGTAGACACATTTATGTTGGAAAATGAAGGTGGAAAGCCTTGGAAGTAGCATTTGTCCCACATTAAATGGGGAGTGGGTTTGCACTAGTATATATACAATTCCACTTTAGAAGGAGCTTGAATTGTATAGCATAAAAGCCCTCTCTCGCGCGTAGGTGGTAGGGGGGTTTCAAATCAAAGCTCAATATAATCGTGAAAATTCACTTCTTGGTGACATTATGCTAAAAAAATGAAAATTCACTTGTCGGTTAGTAAAATTTCGGGTATATCATTTTGAAACGCGTTAATTCTGATCATAAGGAATTAACTCTTGTAACCGTAGGTGGTAGGGGGTTTTAAGAATTAACTTTTGTAATTGTTGTGTTTTAATTTTTTAAATTAATTAAGTTATCTGTTATGAAGATTACAAATCTGATTTAATCCAAATGTTAATGTCATTGTTTATTGCGATATATATCATCATCTCCTATAAATAATACATTGGTATTGGGTAAATTTTTATGTTAATTGTTGAAAAACCTCAAAACTCTTTGTCTTTTCCTCTCTCTTAATCGAAAATCTTGTTAAAAATTTTGCAACAGTTCCGGAAAAGTTTGAAGTGTTCTCCTTGTGTTCTAGTTTGCCAAGAATAATATAGTTTGTGTAATGACAAATTTTCATTTTTTTGATAGTAATAATATAATAATAGGCTAACTAGATATTTTAGGTCTTATTCTACCTAGGCCCAAATTATAATTTAGTTGGTTAAGTTTTAATTTGGGCTTAGTCTATTCTTGGGCCCAATAATAATTGTATATCTTAAGCTTGAGAAGTCCATTAGGGGGAAGTAGATTATTCTGGAAACTTAGTAGAGAAGAAAGAGGGGAGAAGAGGCACACATTCTGCTTTTGGCGTAGCAAGAGGAAGCAAGCAATAGGTTTTGTTTTTGTGCTCAAAATAAAAAAAGACAAGGTAATTAATTTAGTTTTTGGCTGTTAAAAGAAGATATTAAACACTTTAGCTTCCCTGTTAATCTTTGTTGTATTTCGAAGCTCAAGAATGGGAATTCTAGTGAAGAATTGAAATTGCCCAGGGTTGTTTTTAAAGTGGGTGTTTTGGGATGGCTTTAGTAGGGTTATGTGCTATTTATTATTTTATTTTCCTTGCAAATCTACGATTTATTACCCATATTGCGGCTGATTTTTCTCTCTAATGAGCTACATCTTCTTTATTAAATTTTTGACCATACTTGTTTCAAGGAGAGTAATAGAGGTCTTAGGCTCATTATTTATATTTTTTTTGGGTTGTTTTAGTGTGGGGAAAACCGAAAACATGATTGTTTATAAATTTACAAGAAGAATTTGTAAATATTTGGAATGTTCGTAAGTTATAATGGTGTATGTATTTGATAGGTGACCGTGAAGGTTAGGGCATAAAGGAATTTCTATGCTTAAAAGCTTACTGAGGTAAGGGAACCTTGCACTTACTTACTCATCGTAACTTATATACCATAGCTTAAGTGATTGTAAAATATTGAAGCTATTCTTGAATATTATGGGCATGTTATGTATGATAAAGAATTAGTACATATCACGTGAAAATTTGGGAATTTGATGCATTTTAATGTTGATCATGGTATATATAGATTTTCAAATGTATTAATCATATTGGTGGTCTAACCACCCTTGTCTTGACTAGGAATGTTCCCTTGATTCCCAATTGGTGGTCTCACCACCCTTGATTTGGAACATTCCCTTGATTTTAATTGGTAGCTTTGCTACCCTTGACTAGTGTAGTTTTATTAATTGATCTTGGCTCATCCTATGAGTATATTGTAGTTCTCAAGTAAAATGGTGAGTTAGGTATGTAATATTTTTATTTATTTATTTCTATGATATTTGAGCACCGATCTAGGATTCATGACTTGAAGGGAAAACTTTGGAATTATTGATACTCTTATGCGATAAAACTGTATAAGAATACTAACGATTTTATTATACTTTTTATTAAACATCTTATGTTACCTTATTTATTTGTGGTCCTCTTATTCTTTATACTTGATGTGGTAGAGAAGTGTTATATGATGTACCATGCTTTGAGCTCACTTGCGTGTTCATGTTTTCAGATTAGAATGTTGATCGAGGTTAAGACAAGGGAGGTCACATGTTGGGGTTAAAGACCATGGGGTATTAGTCTAGTGTTTTGTGATCGAGGAGGACTACTTCTAGTCTTTTTGTGGAGATCAAAGTCCATAGTAGGACCTTGGATTTCAAGTTGTAATTTTGGACTATGTCTAGAAGCTTAAGTGTGTATATTATATTGCCAATTAAACTATCTTTGGGAGAAGGAACTTTAAGACCAAGATGTTGTTTAGGTTATCTTGTGATTGATATTTTGTTTAGCAGGCTTCGTATTATAACGATATTTTTTTTGTCGTAATAATACGGCCGGGTTACGCTCATTTTTGGGGTGTGACAGTTTGAGTGCTCAATTATATTACTATAATCAAATTTTAACCTCGGAAATCGACGCCACAATACTCATAATATCATCAAGAGGTAGCAAATTAATTTTAATTAGAAATGTGTGTATTACATATGACTTGAATTTTCCTTGTTTTGATTCTTTTTCCATTAGGATTATTTTTTAAAATTTTGAATCCCGTTATTATTTATATTTTTTATATATAATTTTGATTTATCGATTTATTCATCCATACACCATATTTTCATGGGTGAGTGGCCATCGATCTTGCTCCAATCCCCGAGGCTCCACCTTGCAATCTCCTAGCTTTACACCTCATTTGGACTCTACTTCCACCTTTTTTTTTTGCTTCTACCTTTCTATACTCCCAACATTTGTACCTTAACCACCAAATTTTGACCTTTATCTCAACCTACACCCCCTTCCCCACCCCTACACGGCTACACACACAATCTCTCTCTATAGAATGCAACTAATAACACCATAGAGTGCACCATCATATGTATATATGCAACAAACAAATGTACACTAATTTAACTTAGTTGTACGTTATAATGTTGATAGTTGTATTTCATAGTGTTACTAGTTTTAATTGCTTTAAAGTTTGAGTTATTTACAAAAATGTCAATACATTTTTCATCAAATACACTATGTAGCTTTGCTTAGTTACACTCGATCTATAATGTTGAAAGTTACACTTTAAAGTTTGTGTACAAAATTGCTATAAATCACATTTTTATCTCTAATTGTTTTAGATTTGTTAGATCTTTCTTGTTGGACAATTCTTATTGGTTCCTAGTTCTCTCTTGAGGAATGGTTCTCATGGGTGTGTATATATATATATATATATATATATATATATATATATATATATATATACACACACACACGCACACATATATAGGTATTGGATCAAAATGATAACAAGTCCTTAAGAGAGAAATAAGAACCAATCTTAGCCATACAACTGGAAAAATCGGATAGATCATATCAATTTTTTTTTAAAAAAATATGGTCACGTTTTCTTAATTATCACCAACTTTACTATGCATACTTAATTGAACACTAAAATCTGTAATTCTCGGACTTTTCCAGGTTTGCACATTTGAAATTTAGCTATTTCGCTGATTTTATAAAATTTACCAAGTTTACCTATTTAATTGTTAAAGATTGCATAGTCCAGTTCGGATTGCAGGCTGCAACTCACCTGCATGAAGCCGGAATCGCTAGTAATCGCCGATCAGCCATACGACGGTGAATTCGTTCCCGGGCCTTGTACGCACTGCCCGTCACACTATGGGAGTTGGCCATGCCCGAAGTCGTTACCTTAACCGCAAGGAGGGGGATGCCGAAGGCAGGGCTAGTGACTGGAGTGAAGTCGTAACAAGGTAGCCATACTGGAAGGTGCGGTTGGATCACCTCCTTTTCAGGGAGAGCTAATTCTTGTTGGGTATTTTGGTTTGACAATGCTTCACACCCCCAAAAAAGAAGGGAGCTACGTCTGAATGAAAGTATCTGTTCATAGCTACTTTCTCAACCAACTAACGCCTCCACTGGGAGATCGACTTCATGTCACTAGACCACAAGGTCATTGTCACTCTTTTTTCAAAAAAAAAAAAGTTGTCAATTATTTTGTCAACAACTTTTTTTTTTTTTTTTAATAATTAATTGATATTCATTGAGGGATGAAAACGAAAATCAATATCACGAAATAAAGAATCTTTATTAATTTTTGTCAATTTCAAAAATAACCCTTTAACCTAGCAAATTAACATACGAAAAATGTAAATAAATAATGAAAACACATAATAAATCACAATTAACTAATCAACTAATAAAACTAAAACATATACCTCAATTTTAGAGAGTTATGATTTATGAAGTTACATTGGATACTTGATGTCCTACATTATTAAAATATTAACAAAGGAACAAATAAACTAATAAAGAAAAATGGTAAATTTGATTATTTGGTTTATTTATTTTTATTTAATGAATTTGAGTTTTAATATATATTTTGATTTCATTCAATATATACATAAGATTATATTGAATAGTTGTATTTTATTTATTTTTTTACAATATAATAACTACAGTATAATTTATTTTAAATTGCTTTAAAATGAGATTAGCATACAAATTTTCAAAGCATAACAAGTAAAAGAGTACGTATACAATACTTGACATTACAAAACACGAATTTAAGCACATAGAATTAAATTGAAAATAAAAGATACGTTTCATTTAAACTAAAAGTTTGAATCGATCATTTATTTATTATTTAGAATATTTTATGCCAAACCAGGGAGAGGTAATGAAGTGGTAAACATACACACGTACTACATACTTCACAGGCATATATAATTATTAGGTAAAAGACCAGTTCTGTGCTTGAAGAAACTGCACCACCTTCTTCTCCAGGTGGAATGTTTTGGCGAGCACATCGTCTGAAATTGGTGGGGCGGGTCCAAACACGGCATTTGCAAGGACCACAAATCCTGGTTTTTGGCTATTGTAAGAGGCAAAGGCAGTAGCATTGGTGCGGCCAACGTTATAGAGGAAGTGAACAAGTCCCACAGGGAAAACGATGGCGTCCCCTGGGTTAAGAATTTTTGCGAAAAGTGTATTTTTTCCAATGTTTTGTGCGTTTGAAGTGACAAATCCAACATAGAGAGTGCCTTCTAGAACAAACACGACCTCGCTGCCTCGAGGGTGGTAGTGGAGTGGGATTAGGCCATTGGGCTCAAAATCTATTCGTCCAAATGATAACCCCATGGTGTTCAGCCCGGGGAATTGGTCAACATCTATAAAGTTTGATATTAGTCCCACAGAAGTAAGTTTTGTGCCTCCAGCAGGGGTGTTAAGCCCAGCAGCTAAGTAGAAATCATCTGCGGAAACAAGTTTTGGGTTCTTGCAAACCTTTCCATTCAGAAACACTGCATGTATCAACAACCAATATAATTATAATGCATGCACAATTATATTATCACTCTGTTTGGCATGCTTATTCGAAAAGTTAGCTAAAAGCTGAAAAGCCAGTAACTAATAAACTAACTAAATTGATAATAAACTAACTAAATTGAAATTAAATTGTTTGGTAACATTAATTGTTGAATTATAGTGTAAACAGATTAATGAAGGGTAAATTGTGTCATTTTTGTAAATTAATAAAAATAAAAAAATAAAAAGAAAAATTTAAAAAGTTAATAGTTTATTTTGAAACACTACTTAGGTTAGTGTTTCAAAATAAACTATTATTTTAAACTTCTCATGTTTTACCAAAGAGCTTATAACTTATTTATTACTTAAAATAAGCTATAAACTCTAAAATAAGTTTTACCAAATAGAGCTTACATTTAGTTAACCATCCAAGAATGAATTTTTTCTTTTTTTTTTGAATGCTACTAGCTCTATTACATTGTAATTTCTCAACCTACTGAAACACAAAGAGCCAATAACGCCTCTACTGAGGCTCGAAATCACAACCTTCCACTTGGAAGTCCACCCCGGATACCATTAGACCACATAGTCCTGGTCCAAGAATGAAATTAATTGTATGAACTATATATGAAGGTATATATAATAATAAAAATATAATGTGAATGTATAGTATACCGGCAGCTTTGGCATCAGGAACTGCAACACAAAAATCTTGCATAGGGCTAGGTTCATATGCACGACCAAACGAAGCTACTAAACCTAAAAGAAGTAAGGATTTCATGATGGGAAGACTCGCCATTGTTATTGCGGTTATGTTTCTTGATCTTTAACAAGATGGGTGTGTTGGATTCAAAATGAGAAAGGTACCTATTTATAAGTATTTTTATATTTTAAAAAATTGTTAAACATTTAGTAATATTTATTAGTTTGGTAGGAGAATTTAATTCAATAGTTAGTGGTTCTATTCTGTTATTAATATGTTATCCAATATGTTAACCTACTGGGAGAAGTAGGTTATGAATACATAAACGAAAATTTCACAATACTATACCACAATGATGGTCCCGCCGGTTAAATACAAGGAAAAGTCGGGCGGGAGAAGGAATAGACTTTTCTAAATTTTTAATGAAAATTCAAGGTGTGTTTGGTGCACATATGGGAATCAAAATCGGAATCGGAATCGAAATCGAAATCGAAATCGGAATCGGAATCGGAATCGGAATGTGTATCAAATATTTGGTAATGATAATTGGTTTTGGTTAAAGTATTTTGAATGTTTGGTAGTAGGGTGGAATGAGAATGATTATCAATATTGTTGTTTGATTATGTATGAGGATGAATAATGGAATGAAACTCTTATTTTATTAGGGAATGCGTTTTTCAATTAAGGGGTAATCAAAACTCATAGTAGTGTTCTAAAAACCTATCAACCAAACAATAACAATGACTTTGATACTCATTGTTCCTGATAGCTAAACTTGTCAACCAAACACCCCCTCAAATTTTAAGAACTCAGAATCCATTTGCAAATGCAGAAAATATTTTATGAAAAATGATTTATTTTTTGATAAATATTTTTATTTTCATGTATTTGTCTAAAAGTTAGAAAATAGTCTTAACCTGTTTGGCTGAAAGTTAGAAAATTATTATTATTATTATTATTTTTTTAACATGAACATAAATTTATTATAAAGTTATTTCTTATAAAATATTAATTATTTCAATAATAATAAATATTATTTATATTATAATTAAACTATAAATTAAATTTTTAATAGGGAAAATAACACTTTTGTCCCCTAAATTGTATGCTTATAGTATATTTGATGTATGAATATAATTATTTATGTATACACATTATCTACTCAATTATTTTGAAAGTGATGATACTTTTTCTCAGTCTCTGTTAAATGGCCGATTGCACTATTAGATATAAGGTTAAGCTAATGATAGTAACAAAGTTAATGCCAAATTTTGTGTTTATGTTTTAATTCTGTTACAAGCATTAACTTAACATTATTAATAAAGTATATTATTTTGGGTCAGGTTAAATGTGACCAGGAAGTCAAATGAAGGTGGAATGGTACGGTCAGGAAGCTAATTGAAAGTGAGAAATGTGCTCGGGAAACTAGCTATGGGTTCGACCATATAAGGTAAGGAACAAGTTTCGGGACCTCGGCATGTTTTCCACATGTCGAAAACATTTTGGGTGAACGGGCGGTGAATTTTACACTCTACACTTGTCTAAATAGAGTTGACAAGCCACGTGAATATGTAACGAGCCTTCATACGGTTGGGTTACGCTTATTTAAGGTTAATAATCGGTTATTGAAAGCTTTCCCAACCACAATTTGGCCAGGAATATGTGATTCTTTTATTAATTATGGTCAGTAAATGATAAATAAGCCGATCTGATTGATTATCGTTCATAATTCTGGTGAGTACAGTGGTCTATTAATAATGGGACCAAGTTGGTTTCGTGACCCAAGGATAGTCACTCGGCGGACTAACATCGATTTGAGTAAATAAAATAGAAATAATAGAAAGGAAAAAGAAAGAGAGACACAATATTTTTACGTGGAAACCAAACAGTAAAACCCACGGGCCTTTTTGGGCGGTGCCAAGTCGAAAATTCACTAATTTGTAAGTATTTTGTATATGTATCATGGACGGGTGGAGTGCTTATCTATAGAGAAAATGTTGACTGGCCTCCCTTCTCTTCTCATTTCTCCCTTCATTTAGAGTAGAAGAATAATAGAGCAAATACTAATTTTGGTCCAACGAGTATTAGCAAAATGTCAATTTTGGTCCACATGTTTAATTCCTACTAATTTTCATCCACGATTATTGTTTTAGTACCAATTTTCATCCACGATTATTGTTTTAGTGTCAAAATTCATCACGCTGGTCACCCATTCATTTAAGTCATGCCGAAATATGAAATTATTAAGGGTATTTCTATCATTTTCAAATTAAGATAACAATTTGAACATGAATAAAGAGATTTAAGCCATAAAGTCGATTCCAATTTGGAATTCTCATCCTCAAATTAAGGTAGGATGATGAGGAGAACTGCGAATTGTGATCGATTTTAGGGCTTAAATTCCTTTATTTATGATGAAAGTTGGATCATAAGTTGAAAAAGATGAAAATACCCTTAAATATTTTAGATTCCGACATGTCTTAAAAAAAGAGGTTACCATTGTGATGAATTTTGGCACTAAACCAATAGTCGTGGATGAGAATTGGTACTAAAACAATAATCGTGGATAAAAATTGATAGAAATTAAACATGTTGACTAAAACTGTCATTTTGCTAATACTCATGAGACTAAAATTGGTATTTGCTCAAGAATAATATATGGTGTGTAGGGGGGTATTCAAGGGTAGTTAATAGGGTAATAATGGGATTTAATGGGTGATGAATGAGAAATTAAATAGGTAATTAATAGGTTTTATGGGTATTTAAGGGGATTTATGGGTAATAATTAAGGAGATTAATTGTTATAATTGGGTAATAAATGGGTAATTATTTGGGGGTTATGTAGGGGTTTTGCGTATCCATCATCAGTCCATCACTTTCCTGTGTCTCGCGAAGCATGGCACAAGAAAGTACATTGTCGCATCTTAACATCAATTTAACAGCTGAATTCTAAACTAGAATTTGCCGACTTCTTTTACAAGGAGACGCGGTTGACTGAGCGCCGACTCCTTTTACAGGCCTCCAGTCAACCCTAACAACAACATTTTTCCAAATCCTTTTTTCAAGGAGGCACGGTTGACTGAGCGCCGACTCCTTTTACAGGCCTCCAAGCTCTAGCCAACCCTAACACCATCATTTTTCCCGACTCCTTTTTAAAGGAAGCGCGGTTAGACTGAACGCCGACTCCTTTCACAGCCCTCCAGCCAACCCTAACAACAATGATTTTCTCCGTCTCCTTTTTCAAGGAGGTGCGAGGTGAGTAAGCACCAACTCTTTTTCCTTGCCATTTTTCTATGGCCGATTGTTGAAGTTGACTACTTGAAAATTTTTAAGATATTTAATAAAATAAAATGCATCTGCGCGAGATGCGTCCCCTCGAAGGGGTATGGTCCGGGCCAATTAGTAAAATATATATCCTAAGTTAGTTCACTTCTTCCTACTTCAATGAGGCAGTCCCTTAGCATCTCGCTTCATGTTCTCAAACCTGCATAAATTAAATAAATAAATAAAAGACTTGTAAAAATCAGCCAATCGCCTCGCGTCCGAGGGTGCCTGACTACTCAAATTTATCACACCATTTAGGGACTGGCTGAGACCCAAGCTCAATCATTTTTCTCAATATCAACATGGTTCGTCTCGAACCTTAACTCACTCAAACCATTTAAAGGGCTGGTTAAACCGAACCTCATTTGGACCATTCTAAGGGTTGGCCAAGACCGAGGTTTGCTCAAACGGCTTGGAGGTCGCTTGAGACCTAAACTCACTTGGACCATTCAAAGGGTTTGCCAAAACCTAAGTTTTACTCGAACCATTTAAAGGGCTGGTAGACCACCCGAGTCAGTATTGGTTCGACCGACTACTTAATCGACCGAGTGGTTTTCTCTTTCTTTCTCCATTTGTCCTCTTTTTTTTTTTTTTTTCTTTTTTTTTTTTTTAAATATATCTTTGCAGCATGTACAAAGAATGATATACAATAAATATAAACTGCTAAACTTATATACAAATCATATCAATTTTTCTTTTAAACGCGATGACATTTTCATAATTATCACAAATTTTACTATGCAAATTTGAACACTAAAATCTGCAATTCTCAAACTTTTTCAAATTTGCACATTTATTAGTATTAACATTTTGCATATTTAGAATTAAAAGATTACACTTAAAGTTTTGATTTTAGAGTTTATGACGGAGTTTTTTGGGTATATAAAACTTGACAATTTGTATGGATTGAATACAAGATTATATTGAATAGTTAAATTTTAATTTTTTACCACATAATATCTTAGGCAATTCAAATATCAAATTAATTGAAAAGATTGTTTTAAAATACTCCCAAATCTGTAGCACCATTGTCCTCCAAATATAATATATCATAATAATCAAACCAAAAATTCTGTATCAAATTGTTCATTATATTCTACCACATTCACTTCATCTACAATGATTAGCAGCCATGGTTGAAACCCTTCAAGGTTGACAAAAGAGATAGAGACAAACACAAAACAAATAATGATAAAAGCATCATCAATCACATACAATAAAATTAAAAAGCAACATAAAATTAGAATTTACAATAAAGATAATAAATATCTTTTCACCTTCAAAATGGATCAAATAACATAGGAAAAATCTTTATTCACAACAAACGAAAAACCTTTATTCACAGAGATTGAACTATATTATAAGATTATAAGATTATAAGATTACCAACTCCACCAGAAATCAACATGTACTATAAACCGTAGAATTATAGTAATAATATTCACCTGGAAATCATGGAGTAAGCATCCCAATGTTTGTTGGTTGACTGGAACGTGGATATTCCTTGACAAATAACAGCGCATCAGCCGGAGTCTTATACCACTTTTTCTTATCTTGGGGGATAGGCTGGAAGCAGAGACAAAAACAGATTCCATTTGTACTTACTATTTGAAGAATCGAACGAAAATTCAGATTCAAAAGTATTATATGGAGGTGTTGAATTGTGTGGGCAGATTAAAAGATTTCTACTATTTATAGTACCATATATATATGTATATATTTGTATATTTATATATATATATATATATATATATATATATATATATAATTAGGCAAGAGACCAGTTCTGTGCTTGAAGATACTGCACGACCTTCTTCTCCAGGTGGAATGTTTTGGCGAGCACATCGTCTGAAATTGGCGGGTCGGGTCCAAACACGGCATTTGCAAGGAACACAAATCCTGGTTTTTGGCTATTGAAAGAGGCAAAGGCAGTAGCATTGGTGCGGCCAACGTTATAGAGGAAGTGAACAAGTCTCACAGGGAAAATGATGGCGTCGCCCGGTCCGGGCTAAGAATTTTGGCGAAAAGCGTATTTTTCCCAATGTTTTGTGCATTTGAAGTGACAAATCCAACGTAGAGAGTGCCTTCAAGAACAAACACGACCTCGCTGTCTCGAGGGTGGTAATGGAGTGGGATTAGGCCATTGGGCTCAAAATCTATTCACCCAAATGACAACCCCATGGTGTTCAGCCAATCATTATTCTATGGACCCGTGTCCAGCATGCATGCTGGACACGGTAACGGTGCCGTTAGTGGCACCGTTCTCCACTTTTTTATTTTTATTTTTATTTATTTTTTTATTTTTTAATTTCAGACCACTTTGTTATAAGAGTATATATGTTCATAATTGTAAGTTCATAATGTCAGAGCTCTGTGTTCATAATTGCATAACTGTACAGTCATAATTGCATAACTGTACATTCATAATTCAATAACTGTAAATTCATAATTTTCGAAACTCTATGTTCACAATTTTAGAGCTCAATGTTCATAATTTTATCATTATACGTTCATAATTGTAAGTTCATAATGTCAGAGCTCAGTGTTCATAATTCCATAACTTACATTCATAATTGCATAACTGTACATTCATAATTCCATAACTGTACATTTATAATGCCACAAATGAATAACGTCGTTAACACCGTTAACGCCAAGACAAAATCAATTTTTTTTTTTTTAACTGGAAGGCCGCGTTTTCCCTTAAAACGACGTCGTTTTGGACTAGTGTCCAATTGTAGACACGAGTCCACAGCATAATTTGCGGTGTTCAGCCCTGGGAATCGGTCCACATCTACAAAGTTTGATATTAGTCCCACAGAACTAAGTTTTGTGCCTCCAGCAGGAGTGTTAAACCCAGTAGCTATGTAGAAATCATCTTCCGTAACAAGTTTTAGGTTCAAACCTTTCCATTCACAAACACAACATGTATCAACAACCAATATAATTATAATGCGTGCACAATTATATTATCGCTAGATTTGGCATGCCTATTTGAAAAGCTGGCTAAAAGCTAAAAAGTTAGTAACAAGGATGGAGCCATAATGAGGTCAGTGGGGATAGCTGCCCCCTTCCTCCACCCCATCCCTATATATATATATATATATATATATATATATATATATATATATATATATATATATATATATACATAAAAGAGCGCTCATATGTGGTCATGTCATTAGGTGTGGTCGTGTGGTCGTATCTGTGTCGTTGAATCAGATTAATCTAACGGCAGTGGTAATTCTGAGGATTTTCGCGCGTTTTGGTAAGTGGGGGTGTTATGATAATTACAGTGACCATTTATAGTGGGCGGGTTCAAGAATACACCAACAGTGTTGACAACATACATCAATAGTGTAATAAAATACACCACAGTGAAACACACCAATGATGTATTCCCGTGTTATGGTAATTACAGTGGCCATTTATAGCAGTCGGGTTCCAGAATACACCAACAGTATTGACAATATGCACCAATAGTGTAATAAAACACACAACAATGAGATTTTCCCTATTCCGATGTTTTATGACGAGTTTACCCTTGCAGTTCGCTGGGTAGGAGAATATGCGCAAAAATACTGGAAAAATCTTGATTAATATGATTCATTGGATCCATCTAATCTAATGGCCTATAATTGACCATATGACCACACCTAACAACATGGCCACATGTGATCACCCCTATATATATATATATATATATATATATATATATATATATATATATATATATATATATATTGTATGTATAGGCCCCTTATATATACAATTAAATGTACAAAAACTTCAGGTTCTCCAAACGAATTCATCTTCAATCTTGAAAAACAGTCAGAGATTCAAGTTTCGTGTAGCATTGAAAATTTGTTCCAATGTGTTCCAATGTCTGATTGTAAGTATATTCGATCTTATGGTAAACTTTTCATCGTATGATTAATAAATTAGCTCTTTTTTTTTAAAAAAAAATGTACAAGAACTTAACCAATGGATGAGTTAGGTTAGATGGTTAGGTTTTTGTTAGTTTGTTAAGTGTATTGGGTTTGAAACTTCAGGACATTAATTTTTTAAATTTTATTTTTTTGTCCATTTTTAAATATTAATAGGAGTTAATTACCAAAATGGTCCCTTGACTATAGCGAAATTACCAATTTGGTCAATGACTATTTTTCTTAGTCAATTAAGTCTTTCAACTTTAAAAATCTTAACCAATTTGGTCCTCCGTTTATTTTTCCGTTGGACATCCGTTAACTCGGGACCAAATTGATAATTTTCCTATAGTCAAAGGACCATTTCGGTCATCACATGCAACATTTTCTCCGAAAGTGAATTATTAAAATGGTCCCTTGATTATAGCTAAATTACCAATTTGGTCACGAGTTAACGGATATCTAATGGCAAAACATACGGAGGACCAAATTGATTAAGATTTTTAAAGTTGAGGAACTTAATTGGTCAAGAAAATAGTCAAATACCAAATTGGTAATTTCGCTATAGTCAAGGGACCATTTCAGTAATTAACTCTATTAATAGTGAGATTATAATTGTGATTTATGAGATTAATTTCTAATTCTAATTTGTTATAAATACATCATTATGTGGACATTATTATAGATTATTATATAACTGTTGTAACGATTTTTGTATTTATGTCTCCATTATATCTTCCGTTACGTTTGTATTCTATATATATATATATATATATATATATATATATATATATATATATATATATATATATATATATATAGGTGTTGTGATTGTATGATGACAGACAACTAATGAATAAGAGATTCTTCTTTTCTCTTGATTTTATTTTCCTTTGAACACGTTATCAGCCCTTTGCTCTATATTCTTGGTGAACTGGGAGTTGTTTGGAATGGAATTTCTAAGATTTCGATGATTCCAAATCTCGCAAGTGATTTTATTGGAGGTGTATGCACATCGTATGATTTCCACTCTATGTTACTGTTGGAAAAATAAAATATAAAATATGTGGCTCAAAATCCATTCAATTCTATGAAGACAATCATCCGCTTCGCATGCATGTACGTGTAGCACATTTCTCCGAAGTTGGCTCTCATCCGTGCTTGCTGCTTAATTCTAGTTCACTTTTGATTGTATAAATAGCAGTAATATTTGCTTTGTAATAAACACTCATTCATACATCAATATACACCAAATTGAATTCTCTTTCTTTCTCTTTATTCTCACGTAGCATACATATATATATATATATATATTATATTAATTTCCTTAATCCTCTTTTGAGTGATAATATAATATATATATTCTCAATATTCTATTTATTTGTCATTTATATATTTTTCCCTATTTATATTATTTAACTTCTATAATTCTCAATTTTCGATTCTTCGCTTCCGCTATATTCCTAACAAGTGGTATCAGAGCGGTTTAATTGAGAGTTATTTTCAAAGATGTCAACTGTTACCAAGTTCGATATCGAGAAGTTCGACGGGAAAATTAGCTTTTCTATCTGGAAGGTTCAGATGGAAGCCGTTCTAACCCAGAACGGTTTGAAGAAAGCGCTAGCTGGGAAGAAGAAGAAACCGGCTGCAATGACAGATGAAACTTGGGAAGATTTGGATGACAAGGCACGTTCAACCATTCTTTTGTGCCTGTCTAAAGAGGTTCTACGTGAGGTGTTAAGTGAGACGACTGCGTCAGATTTATGGTCCAAGCTGGATACGCTTTACATGGCCAAAACTCTGGCGAACACGCTACGCCTGAAGGAGCGTCTGTACACAATCCGTATGACGGAAGGTACTTCTATTAAATCTCACTTGGATGAATTCAATTCTATTTTATTGGACTTGGAAAATATTGATGTTATAATTGAAGATGAGGATCGCGCTGTTTTATTGCTTGTCTCTCTCCCTAGATCGTACACGCATTTCAAAGAAATTATGTTGTATGGTAATAGTAGTGATACCCTTACTTTCGACAATGTTAAGTCAAACCTATTGTCCAAAGAAAAGTTTGACTTTGAAATTAAGTCTGAGGACAAAGGTGAAGGCTTGACCATAAGGGGTCATTCACTTGAATCAGAGAGTAGCAATAAAAAATCTAGATCCAAGTCCAACAAATCCTGTAAGTACTGCAAGAAGCATGGTCATGATGTGACTGAATGCTTCAAGCTGAAAAACAAGCAAGAGAGAGAAAAGAAGTCCGCTGAAGCTAGTGTTGTTGAAAGTGATTCAGATGGTGATGTGCTGTTATCTGTTAGCTCCGGTGAGAAACGGAGTGAAACCGAGTGGATTTTGGACTCTGGTTGTACATTCCACATGTGTCCCCACAAAGATTGGTTCATTTCTCTGGAACCGGTTGATGGTGGAGTTGTCTTGTTGGGTAATGATACCCAATGCAAGGTTAGTGGAATTGGAAGTGTTCAGATTAAAACTCATGATAACGTTGTCAGGACTCTTACCAATGTTCGGTATATTCCTGATTTGAAACGCAATCTGATATCGTTGGGCACCTTGGAATCTCTGGGGTACAAGTACATAGCTGAAGGTGGAGTTTTGAAGGTCATAAAAGGCTCTGTTGTTCTCATGAAAGCTTCTCGTTCTGGAAGCGTGTACGTCTTGCATGGCAGTACTGTGGCGGGTTCAGTAGCGATATCCTCATCGATGTCTGATGCGGATCTCACTCAATTATGGCATATGCGTCTGGGGCATATGAGTGAGAAAGGCATGCATCTCCTGAGCAAAAAAGGCCTCCTTGGTGGTTCAGGTACGGGTAAATTACAATTTTGTGAGCATTGTATTTTTGGGAAACAAAAGAGGGTTAGTTTCTCTACTGCTACACACCGTACCAAAGATGTATTGGAATATATACATTCCGATTTATGGGGACCGACTAAATTCAAGTCTATGGGAGGCTGTAGATATTTTATGTCTATTATTGATGACTTTTCTCGTAAAGTCTGGGTCTATTTCCTGAAACATAAAAATCAAGCATTTTCTATTTTCAAGAAATGGAAAATACTTGTTGAGACTCAGACAGGTAAAAAAGTCAAGAAGCTCAGGACAGACAATGGCTTGGAGTTCTGTGAGTCAGATTTCAATGACTTTTGTGCGGCAAATGGAATTGCCAGGCACAAGACCTTGCCTGGTAAACCCCAGCAGAATGGTGTTGCCGAACGTTTGAACAGGACTCTATTGGAAAGAGCTCGTTGTATGCTCTCTAATGCTGGGTTATGGAAACGGCGTGATTTTTGGGCCGAGGCCGTTTCTACTGCTTGCTATTTGGTAAATAGATCTCCACATTCATCCCTTGATTTCAAAATTCCAGAGGAAGTTTGGTCAGGTAATCCTGTTGACTACTCTATCTTAAGAGTTTTTGGATGTCCTGCTTATGCTCATTCCAGTACGGGTAAATTAAACTCGAGAGCTGTCAAATGCATTTTCCTTGGTTATGCCTCTGAGTCAAAAGGGTATCGTCTATGGTCTCCTGATTCTCGGAAAATCATTCTGAGCCGAGATATCACTTTTGACGAAAATGCACTACTTTCTTCTGGAAAAGTTCCCAGTACAGGTGAGACGCAGAGTACTGGTGAGAAGGTGGAGTTTGAGTTCAGGCCTATTGATAGTGTTACTACTGCTGATGGTAATACTAAAGATGATGCATCTACTAGCACAACACCTCTCGTCGAGCCACAACGAGAGTATTCCATTGCTATGGATCGTCCTAGGAGGACAATTAAAAAACCTGCTAGGTATGCTAGTGATGATGAAACCAACATGGTTGCTTATGCTCTTTCAGTCACACAGGAAGTTGATGGTGATCCATCCTGCTATTCTAAGGTTCTTCCTGTTGCTAAGTTCAAGTAGTACTTGAGTTTAGTCGGACTGTTTCAATTGTTAATTCCACAATGGATTTGATCCAAGGTGGAGATTATTGGAAAAATAAAATATAAAATATGTGGCTCAAAATCCATTCAATTCTATGAAGACAATCATCCGCTTCGCATGCATGTACGTGTAGCACATTTCTCCGAAGTTGGCTCTCATCCGTGCTTGCTGCTTAATTCTAGTTCACTTTTGATTGTATAAATAGCAGTAATATTTGCTTTGTAATAAACACTCATTCATACATCAATATACACCAAATTGAATTCTCTTTCTTTCTCTTTATTCTCACGTAGCATACATATATATATATATATTATATTAATTTCCTTAATCCTCTTTTGAGTGATAATATAATATATATATTCTCAATATTCTATTTATTTGTCATTTATATATTTTTCCCTATTTATATTATTTAACTTCTATAATTCTCAATTTTCGATTCTTCGCTTTCGCTATATTCCTAACAGTTACACATATAGAAACAAATAATTCCAGATCGGTCGTCAACCAGGGTCAATTCCATGATCAGACCTCCGGATCGCCGCCGCAACCATCATCGACGAAGCCCTAGATCGCGTGAGCGTTTAGGTGACTGCCGATCGACGATCCTCAGACAGAGGTTTGACGCGATGGAATCGTCTCGTTGCAACATTCCTCAACCGATGGTCTGATTGTTGTTCGGCCACCATTTTCTTCCGCCGAAGTCGGTGCGCAGCCGGAGGTTTTCCGGCCAGTTCAACAGACCCCTCACCGGAACCCAGTGGCGGACACGTCCTCGGTTTGGATAATGTATAGTAGGTGTCGTCGACATCGAGGTTCCAGGATTTCACCCTCGGAGGTAGCCGCTCCTTGGAGCTTTGTTTTTCCTTTTTTCTGCAATTCCAGAAAGTAGTCAAGGGGAGCCAAATTTAAGAATATTTTATGAAGAAGCAGCAGGTTGCTACGCATGCAGTTATACGGAGTATTGATATTGCCAGATATACACTAAATGCTACGCACTAAAAGGGGCTGTGGATCCAAAATTGGTATCATAAATCACCAGTATACTATTGTTCCTTAAATAAATTGATGATTCCAGAAGAATCCAATTTAAGCTTACATGCATTTTTCAAGATATTAGAGAAAAACTGGGATTGTCTACAATGTATAATTTTTTTGGGATTGTCTATTGAGAGCTTATCACGGTTGGAAGGTCAGTTTTACATGTTTACATTTTTTATTTTGAATATCATTCACTTTAAGTTAGATTATATTTATATCTAACCTGTGATATTAGAGCCATATGCACAATTGTTAACTATGTGCTTCATATTATTGCCTATAATAATTATGTCAATGGATTATTATTATTAATGATAGGCAATATAATCGGCATGGTGCATAATACTCATCCATTCTCTCAAATTTGAGAACATTCATTTGCTCAAATTTGTTTTGTGACCATGATAACCATCATAAAAAAGAATTTGTTTAGTTGACTTTTGATGGTAACAATTATTTGCTATAGGTCATAATTGTTGATATTTATCACAGACCTTATAAGTGTTGAAATAGCATGAATATTGAATATATTTTTGCGGCAACAAGTCATTGCACTAATTAGACTATAACAGCACTATAGGACAATCTCCTAATGAAAATTGACTTGAAATTTATTTACAAGTCAATTGATTATTTGTCCAAGTTCAAGCTTATTTATGGTGTTGAGTCTCGAACATTGAAATAAATCTCAAATTTGAGTATCCAAACAAGATGACAGTGCCTAATTTTTAATATAGTTTTGCCTAGAAGGTAAACACTAAGAGAACTAATTTTTATTTGTCACTTTTTGGTCTAAATCCTCGGTTATGAATATTTGATCGAAAAAGATTCATAGAGCCCAAGTTAATCCCTGAAGGATCGCTACGAGCGTACAATCAATAAATTATTGCAATCCATTAATGCATAGAATGCATGATCTGAGTAGTTAATTCTCGTGAGTCATCTAGAATTCCAAAACCCGAAAGCAAATAAGGATAAATCATACATCCCTTTTATTCCTTTTATGCAATAAGCATATCGGGCCTAATAGGTATACGTTATTTAATAAGCATGCCCCCAGATGATCATGATAATATGCAACATCATCAGAATCGGACAGTCGCGATTCATCGCTAGAAATGAGTATTGGGCCACTGCCTTGATTGAAAGGAGACGATACGGTCTCTTCTGAGCTAGCCCTCTTTGAATATTACTGTCAAGTCTGTAAGGAATAATTATGTTAGGCTTGCCGCTGCCCGGACATTGTACAATGTTCTTGGCTTTGCTCAAGCAAAATTTTAACAATGATATGGAGTGGGATTATATTATGAGAGTTGTGGTTACTTTTTCACCAGAAGTGAAAATTTGACAGGATGATTTTTTTGAATGTTTGGTGTCTAATTTCATCAACATATTACGAGATGTTAGCTCCATGCATGCAGGTCATATTATTGTTCATATTATTTACGGTATTTTTTTCGAAAAGAAAATTAAGCATTTTTGTATTTCAAAAAAAAAAAAAAAAAAGCATTTTTGGAGGAATTTTTTTTTTTTTTTTGGGACCTTCAAAAATTGAATAACCAATATCCTGATTCACTACATATCACATACGCTAGTACATGATGCAATTCCCTATCTGCGTTCATTTTTTAGTATGCAACCCTTCTACCTATAGTCCATCATGAGAAATCAACAGTGATGATGGTTGCATTATAAGATCTTTTCTCGGCATTAGGGGGAGATTTGAAATTTCTAATTAATTAAATGCCGAGAAATTGATAAAAATCTTCAAACCCATGTACTAGGGTTATAGAACCAGAAGTTCAGACATTGAACAAATTATCTGCTAGAAATCCCAAGGAGTGACTAAGTCCATAGAAAATATTTTAAGAGTTGAAATCCCCAACTAGGACTAAACATCTCTACCATTATGTTAGAAGCATATATTGATTTAAGAATTTACAAAACAAGATCTAGTATATAAATTTCGTCACTCCAGAAATATAGAATTTTTTTATCTTGAAGATATTCGTCTAGAAGGCGAAAACCCCCAATAAAATTGTAGGTGCACCAAATAACTAAAATACTGGGGAAGCGGAACAACCAAATTCAAATACTCTTGGGAAATGCCATATATTTGGTTGATACAAAATTGCCATGTGTATAAAAGATATTTACAAAGCTGTTATAGTTGTCGACAACATATTTTGCCTCTTTTGCTCATAAATCTGGATCCAGAAATTAAAACAGTATAGTATAACGCCAGAAGCGTGCTAACTGTTTTGATAGAAAATAGCAATTAAGGCATACAAATCAAAACTCGCTAATAAAAGGCGAGTTAAGGGTTTTCGCAGAGACCAAATATTAGTCATGGCTTTATATTCCGCTATTCGATAAAACTAGCAGTTAATAAATTAGATATGTAGCTAATATACATAGTTATCACATATTTATATGGGTAACTTGTTACTTATATTTAAAATCCTTGATGGATTTTCTCAAAATGTGATGAATAAAAATCACAAAATAAGAAGTATAAAAGTTAGTAAGTTACTAACTATGATCTTTCTTATAGTCAATAAATTGACTAAAGGTATTTTCTCCCCAAGAACAAATTAATGTTATATGTGTTTGGGAAACTTAAATATAGTTTATCTTGAAAAATCTCTAATGGATTTATAATTCCCGAAATGAGGATTTATTTTAGTATTATTATGTACCATTATTTACTTTTTAAAGAGTTGCGAATGGGGTTATTACCCTCACATAGAAGGAATAATATGTACCATTATGTGCTCAATAAAGAGTTGATAATGGACTTATTTATTATCTCAGTCAATTTTTATGATGTAAATATCAATAAAATATATAAAGAACTTGAAGATTGTTATCTTCAGGGGAGATGGGAAGTACATTTACTCGAATCAATCCGGAAGATTGGACGTAAAATCCTGAAGATTAAGTCATAAAAGACTAACAGTTGTGCACTATTTGCAACACATCATGTACTCTTTTCATCACTAGTTTTTTCCAATTGGGTTTTCTAGTGTGGTTTTCAACGAGGCGTGAGTATGATATAATAATGTAAATGGAGAAATGTTGCAAAATAAGTGCTTAAATAAACAGACCCCAAAAATCCTGAAGATTATGCCTCGAAGGCTTATAGTTGTAGCCTTTTTCCTTTAACTAAGTTTTCCCACAGGGTTTTCTTAAGTTAAGGTTTTTAATGAGGCAAATAATACAATATATGATTTCTACATATGTCATGTACTCTTTTCTTCAACTAAGTTTTTCCCACGTGGTTTTCCTAGTGAAGTTTTTAATAAGGCATGAATATATTTTCTATTGTACTCTTTTCTTGTCTAGGTTTTTCCCACAGGATTTTCCTAGCGAATTTTTAACGAGGCAAGGTCATGGACAAATAATGTCCAAGGGGAAGTGTTATAAATACATCATTATGTGGACATTATTATAGATTATATAATGGTTGTAACGGTTCATGTATTTATGTCTCCATTATATCTTCCGTTACGTTTGTATTCTATATATAGAGGTGTTGTGATTGTATGATGACAGACAACAAATGAATAAGAAATTCTCCTTTTCTCTCGATTCTATTTTCCTTTTAACATAATTGAATTTTTTATATGTAACATTGGGGTATTCTTTTAATTATTAACAGTTACATGAGTGATCTAACAATGTAATTTCTATTTGAACTATGTTTTTGTTTTGAATATTTTTTATCGCGTTTTAATCTATTTTTTTTATCCCTAGTCAACAATATTTATGCCTCAACCTCTAAGTGTTTCATTTTATTTTTCTTTTGCCCCCACTGAAGAAATTTTTTGGATCCGCCCTTGGCTAATAACTAATAAACTAACTAAATTCAAATTAAACTGTTTGGTAACATAATTGTTGAATTATCTTATAAGTGTAAAAATACAAAAAAAAAAAAAAAAAAAAAAAAAAAAAAAAAAAAGAGATAAACTAAGATTTTAGGATTGATTAATGAAGGGTAATTGTGTCATTTTTGTAAATTAATAAAAATAAAAATAAAAAAAGGTTTAAAAGCTAATTGTTTATTTTGAAACACTACTTAGGATTAGTGTTTCAAAATAATCTATTATTTTAAACTCTTCATGACCAACAGAGCTTATAACTTATTTATTACTTTTTTTTTCAAAGAAACTTATTTATTACTTAAAATAAGCTATAATAAGCTCTACCAAACTGAGCCTACATATAGTTAACCATCCAAGAATGTATATATATAATAATAAAAATGTGAATGTATAGTATACCGGCAGCTTGGGCATCAGGAACTGCAACACAAAAATCTTGCATAGGGCTAGGTTCATATGCACCAGCAAACGAAGCTACTAAACCCAAAACAAGTATGGATTTCATGATGGGGATCCAACTCGCCATTGTTATTGCTGTTATGTTTCTTTAACAAGATGGGTGTATGTGTTGGAATCACAATGAGAAATTAAAGGTACCTATTTATAAGTATTTTTATTTTTATATTTAAAAAATAATTGTTAAACATTTAGTAATATTTATTAGTTTGGTAGGAGAATTTAATTCAATAGTTAGTGGTTCTGTTCTGTTATTAATAGGTTATCAATACATAAAACGAAAATTTCACAATACTATACCAGAATGATGGTCCCGCCGGGTAAATACAAGGAAAAGTCGGGCGGGAGAAGGAATAGACTTTTCTAATTTTTTTTAATGAAAATTCAAATTTTAAGAACTCATAATCCGTTTGGAAATGCAGAAAATATTTTATGAAATTTTTCGATAAAGATTTTTATTTTCAGATATTTTTGTCTAAAAGTTAGAAAATAGTCTTAACCTGTTTAGCTTAAAGTTAGAAAATTATATTTTTTTCTGTTTGGTTTTTTTTTTCTTCTTCTTTTTTTTTTTTATCAGTGTGAGGGGGTTACCCAAAAACTAGTCCCTATTGTTTCCTCCGCAAGAGCTCTGTAGAAGCCTTCTTTCTGACGTCGCTCCAATCTGGTCGTGTGGTCGTATCTGTGTCGTTGAATCAATTTAATCTAACGGCAATGATAATTCTGAGAATTTTCGCGTGTTTTGGTAAGTGAGGGTGTTATGGTAATTACAGTGGCCATTTATAGCGGACGGGTTCCAGAATACACCAACAGTGTTGACAACATACACCAATAGTGTAATAAAATACACCACAGTGAAACACACCAATGGTGTATTCCCGTGTTATGGTAATTACAGTGGCCATTTATAGCGGCCGGGTTCCAGAATACACCAACTGTGTTGACAATATGCACCAATAGTGTAATAAAACACACAACAATGTGATTTTTCCTATTCCGGTGTTTTATGACGAGTTTACCATTGCAGTTCGCTGGGTAGGAAAATGTGTGCGAAAATACTGAAAAAAATCTTGATTAATATGATTCATTGGATCTATCTAATCTAATGGCCTATAATTGACCATATAACCACACCTAACAACATGGTCACATGTGATCACCCCTATATATATATATATATATATATATATATATATATATATATATATATATATATATATATATATATATATATATATATATATATATATATATATATATATATATATAACAAATTATGTGCAAAAGAAGCTTTAGGTGAAAAATAGGGTATAATCTCATCCATTGATTCAGTTCAGATTAAGCGTAAGAATGAAGCTATTAAAAAAAAAAAAAAAAAAAAAAAAAAAAAAAAAAAAAACGGTGACATTATGGTAACTTTGTGTAAGTTAGTTTTTTTTTTTTTTTTTTTTTTTCAAAACATTTTTCCCTTCTTGCAGCTATGCCTTGAAGAGCACAATGTTGTGCCTTGTAGAGCACACTGATATGCCTTCACGTGCATATTGCTTTGGGTAAATAACTTTTTTTGTCTTTCGGTGTATTTTTTTTCCTTCTTCTAGAACACAATTTTATGCCTTCAGAGCACATTGGTATGCCTTCCAGTGCACATTGCATTGCCTTACATAGCACATTGTTGAGCCTTCCATAGCACATTGGTATGCCGTGTGCCTTCGAAGTGCATATTATTTTGCCTTAGAGTACATATTGTTGAGCCTTCCAAAATCTCTGCTGATTATTATCAATTCGGGTTGGATAATGTGCCTTAACAAAATCGGATGGTTCATGTTTATGGGTACATACGGTAGAGGCTATTTACCGGATGGATTATGACAACTCGTTGGATTAATTATGTACATGCAATTTGTGGATTCGGTTCGTATTTGTTGATTCGGCTGTTAAGCGAAATTAACGAATCGGTGCATGCTTTCAACAACGAATCGGTGCATACTTTCAAAAACGAATCGGTGCATGCTTGATTACATGATTTGTTGGTTTGTTTGGCAGCATGCTTGTAAGTGTAAATATATATATTATTATTTATTATTTTGCATGGTTAACATGCATTGAAATAATGAATATAATATATATATATATATATATATATATATATATATATATATATATATATATATATATATATATATATATATATATATAGTTGAGTTCAAATAAGGACCACTATATTATAGAGGACTGTGTGGACTGGTGTAGTCGTGTGCCATTAGTCTGTATGTCGTGTGTCTGGCCTAATGTAGTCGTGTGCCACAGTTTGTATGTTGTCTGCATAGGTTTGTTAATTAATAGAGCCTTAGTTCGAAACCTGATATTTACATGTATTCTTCTGTACCATTGTGTATTAAATTGTGTGCATGATACTAATTTGTTGTATGCCCGTAATCAGTCCGCAAAGTCCTCTATATATTGTGGTCCTCATGTGAACACCCTTAAAATACAAACATGTGGACATATACCGTGCACACAACTAAATGCGGGTGTGCACACATTCGTGGACGACAATACACACATCCAATATAGTATGCAGGTGTGAATCCACAATATTTGGGTCGGCGTGCACACGTCCATGAACGACAGTGCACACAGGCGGGCAGCACACAAAATCATAAGTACATAAAGTACATAATGTACATAAATCTACGAAGGTACATAATGTACATGCTACATAGTTCATGTAATTATATTTTCCATACCTGATATATCGGATAGATATATTTTATGGAGGTTGAGGTTTTCAACTACTAGTAACTTCCATGTAACCTCTCCTAACCATCAAAATATTTTATATAAATATTTGGAGAGACATCTGAAGAATACACGAAAATTAACAGGCAATTGATGGAGGCAGGAAACCAAGATATTTCACATGCTTACAATTTTACAGGAAATTCTCAAACAAAGTAACTTAAGAATTTCATTCATCTTCTTGTATCCCGTAAGATTAAATCTTGAACCTTGTTACTTTTAATAGTTAAATTTTATTTTTTTAAAATATAATAAGTAATTTGTTTTTTAAATTTCTTTAAAATTGAGATTAACATACAAATTTTCAACGCATAATAAGTAAAAGAGTATGTATTGTTAGACAATAATCTGACTAACATAAATTTAATAACAAGAAACCTGAACACGTAATTACCGAAGCTTTAGGATCGCCTGAATATCCCTTGCCATAGTCATTGATGTTGCCGCTAGAGTGATAAACGTGCAGAATAGTTTTGTCTACCACTTCTCTCCTGAATACCTAATGGTGCGTGTATACTGAACACGGGAGCTGTGGGAGGACTATTTTGCTTAGAAGTCTACATGCCATCAACATAGGCAGATATTCAGTTAAAGCTTAACTGAATATCCTGAGTTGCCTAAGGAATTAAGTAATTGACTCAATCTCCTACTTGCACCACAATCACCCAATTAATACAATATATTATAATATATTATATTTAGGGAAAATACTTACATGTACACCATACTTGACATTACAAAACACGATTTGCT